ATCCCCTTTCTTGACTTAAACCTTCCCTTCGATTTATCGTGGTGCTGTGGGCATTTACTCTTACTTCTCCCTTGATTTTCTGTAACAAGTGCTTCACCTTGGGCTAAACTGGACATCTTTCTTCTAATTTCTTCATTCAATAAACTTGTTGTAACTTTGACTCGTTGTAAGAACCCCATCAGGTGCAGAGTTACTTAGAAACACTACCAATGCCTCCTAACTATTCGGCAAAGAACTAAGCACACAACAAAGCTTGCAATTCATCATCTAACACCATTTTCATGGAGGACAGCTAATTCACAATACTTTGCATTTCATTTAAATTCTCCACAATTAATGCATTTTCCTTGAACTTCAAGGTTACAAGATTTCTGATCAAGAAAGCTTTCTTTCTCATTGCTTCTCTTTCATATAAACTTCCCAACTTTTTTCAAAGAGAGTGTGCTAAAGTTTCTGTAGAAACATGGTGGAAAAACACTATCTCCAATCCATTGTCTAGTCACTCCTACAGCTTTTCTGTCAATTTTCTTTCATTCCTCAATGGACGTCCCTTCCAGCTTAGCTTCTTCTCCTTCAATATAGATTCACACAAGTCCCTACAATACAAGTCTTCCATTCTTGGTTTCCAAATGCTCCAGTTTTTCCCATTCAACATAACCATATAACCTGTACCAACATCCATGATTTACACACCTAAAATTATTTCAACCAAAGCTCTGATACCACTTTATTGGAATTAAAATCCCTTGTTAATAGTGTGCAAATCAGCAATGTAAATGACAAAGGAGAAACAACAAGTAATAGCCAAGGAGAAAAATAATCAAACACCACAAGAGAAATAGCACACCAAAATTTTTAACGTGAAAAACCTCTCCAATGTGAAAAGTAAAAACCACAGGGCACTAACGCAAAAATCTTCCACTATCAACAAGATTAATAGGAATTACAACCTCTCTAATTCCAACTAGAAAATAGAAACTTCAAGAGATAAAAACCTCTCTTGAATATACAAACCAATTATCAAACAAGATATATTATGGATTTAGCTTCTGTTCTTTGTGGGTCTGCTACAAAATCTATAGATCATCTGTGTCTTCACTGTCCGTTCTCCTCTCAGGTCTAGATGCATTTTCTCAAAGCATTGGGCATCAGCTGGGTCATGCCTAGGTCGGTTAAGGAGCATCTTTGTAGTTGGAGTACAAAAGGTCTAAGTAAGAAAGGGAAGTTGATGTGGAAGACAATCTCTGCTGCTGTCTTGTGGTCCATTTGGGCAGAAAGGAATAGTAAATTTTTCTGTAATAGATCCAAAATTCTTGATGATGTAATTTAGAGAATAGTGGGCAAGCTGATTTCTTGGATTTCTACTTCTGTGGAGTTCAAAAATCTTAACTTGTTTTTTTTTTTTTTTGTTTCAGTCTTGCTCCTGGTGGAGGTTGTAATTCTGATTGTTTTCATACTGCCTTCATGGGTCTGATTTCAGTCTGTATTTGAGTTTTTGTTTTGAATAAAATTACATTACCTTTTACAAAAAAAAAAAAAAAAAGAAGATATATTTCAGCCAACAAACATGAGAAATACCAAACAAGCTGCCCAAACCCTCTCCAAAATCACTGTTGAAGAGTCAAAAAAATCCACCAAAAGCTTGATGGAATAAGTGTAAAACAACAACCACAATAATTGATTGAATGTGCTCTTGTTCACGTACCAAGAAGCTTGAATATCTTCTTCTTCTCTTGTAAAAGTGGAATTTCCCTTCCCACTCTCTTCTTTTCTTTTCTTCTCAAAGAGAATACCAACGTGAGTGTCAAGAATTTCAAGAGACTCTTCTCACCAAAACAAAATGAGGCTTGTAGAGAAAGCCAAAAGATGAGTGGGTCTTACCATCCATTAACATGAACCAAGACATGACAATTTGTCTCATTCTTACTAGTGAGAGAACATCAAGAATGTCAACATTATTTTGGCTTTCTTTCTTTCTAAATTTCTCAAGTTACATGTTGGGCAAGAAACCCTAACACATGAGTGGGTCCCACCTGCACATGAGGAGGGAAACCCATCATTGTTTAGTTTTGAACTTTGAAAATAAGCTCAAGTGGTTCCAAAAAGGCGTTGTCCTTTTATATTTCAAGTGCAATTTCTGTAAACACAACGTTCATACTCCTCACAGCTTTTATCTCAGCATTTCCATGAAACAATGTGAGCAAAGCAACACAGATCTTATACAGTTAAAACCTTAGTAGAAAAAGAAAAATTCTCTAAACAAACTCCTATTTTGATTCAAATAGGCATACCTTTTTTCTTTTCTTTTTTTCTTTTTGAGAGAAAAATAAGTGTTGTATAGTACCATGGGGTCCTTTGAACCTAATCTACAGGTTTTTCCCCATCCTCACAACCTTAAAGAAATAGAGTTTCAACTGCAATTAATGAAATCCATTTTCTGTTTCTCTCTCTCTCTCTCTTAACCCAATCAATACCCGTTGGTCATCTTTTTTTCTCTTCTCTCCCCCAACACTTCTTCTTCTTCTTCTTCTTCAAATGGGTAAAATAGGATTTTAAATTTTTAAATGACTTTACATGTGCCTCTTCATTCATGAAGGGTATATTTAAGTCTAGTAGGTTAGTTCACGAGGTATACTTAAGTCTTTTTAAAAAACACAGAGTACATTTAAGTCAATTTATGAAAACTCAGGATATGTTTAAGTCTTTTACCTTTTTTTTAGTTGTGGGGGGTGGGGGTAGCCTATCCCCCAAACCCATAACCCCTCCCCCCCGGGTGGGATCCAATCCTTTGTGCTATAACTAGCAAGAGACCTTCAATCAGCGAGTTGCCACCTTACATGTCAAAAGTCCTGAACTTTTGGCAAATGCACTACCTCTTTCAATTCTTTTAGTCTCCCTCATAAACTAATGAAAAAAAGAAGAAGATAGAAAAATTTGAAAACTTGGATTTTAGAGATACAAGGGTAAAATGGTCTTATACATTTCAGAACTGATAGATGGAATGTCAACAGCGGTAGAGTAATGGAATGCTAAAACACGGCCGGTAGCTTTTTAATTATGCTGGCAAAATTAAGAAAGTTTGGAGACTCAAGAATCACTACCCCCAAATTACATTGTAGGTCTCTGTATGTTTACCATGATAAATTTATCATAAAATGATTGAGTCAACTCGTCTCACTCAGTACCAACCAAGAAAGAAACTCGACTCACTGAGCTGCAACAGGTTTATAATTAAACACGGTTTATACCAACTAGCCTATCACTGGATAACGCCGTCACCGGCCCATTGATTTTTTTTTTTATGCATTATTCCCTTAATATATTCAATCTCCTTAACAGTCTATCTGAAATAGATCTACACTATCAACCTGAATATATGGTATAAAATAAAATACATGGCTGAAAGAATATAAGAATATATGGCATAAATAATTAAATACATGATTGAAAGACTGCTTCTAACTGCTACATCAATTGAATTTTCTGCAACTACTATTCCCTCTCTTCCTCTCTCCTGCAAGTAAAACTAGATGTTGAGAGTTGTAATATTTTATTCTTAAACCTCCTAAAGAGGTAGGCACTCTGGCGTGTAGAATCTGTTTAAGGCCCCAAATAATTTGTCATATTAATAGAAGATAACTTATTTTTATCAATTTATTAGAGGCAATGGGAGGATCCTGAAGAGCCACTTTGTTTTTACAGTTCCAAATTACTCAGGAAACCATGATTCACACATCCCCTCTTTGTTAATCAGTTTGCAGTGCAATTTCATTTGCAGTTTTGCATTAATACAAATGCATGAGTGTGAAAATGATAAGATTTCAAACTCTTGTCCCACTACTTTTGCTTCAAATTTTACTTCACTTTGTTTCAGACGACTTGTCTATTTGATGTTTGAGACTCCGTGGGAGTTTGGGGGGACAAAGCTTCAGTCTCATGTACATGACATCAATGAATCATTGACCCACTCTGTGGGCTTTCACTTGTCAATTTTCATAAATAATTAGATTAATGGTTATGATGTAAATAAGCTTACACTGTTTCATTCAGGACTGTCAATGGTCTGGATCAAGCCAATAAACCCGCCCAATTCAAGCATATGGCAAGGGGTCTCGACATGTATCTTGTCCCACTTATTTATAATGTTTTAAAAAATCGACTCGAACTGGAATCGTTTTGGTCACCTGTTTCTGGGTCAGTGGTTCGACCATCTAGTTCAAATGGATGGCCTGTTTAAATTAAAAAACAATTAAAATAAAAAACGGCCAAAAACCATTATTATGGGTTGATGGTTCAACTGCCTGGGTCAGTGGGTTGTTGATTAAGTCAATGATTTTTTGTCCAAAATGGGTTAAAGTGAAATAGTTGCCTGAATGGTTCCTTGGCCAAATGGTCTGACCATCTGGGTCAATGACAATTCCAAAACATTGCTTATTTATAATGTTTTGCATGGTTTATCTGTATTCTGCTATATTTTCTTGTCAAAAGCAGTCATTTTATAAGGGATACATAAGATATTTTGTGAAGAGAGAGCAAGAATTACAACTTGGGCAGTTCTAGGTCTAAGACTTAGATGTTTTCTCATTGGTTTGAAACCGGTTCTACTCTGACCCGCACCAGATCCGGTTCATGAAAAGTTATGGGTTCATTTCTCCTGGTATTGATATATATATATATAAAGTGGGTTTATTATGGGTTTAGCATCTCTTCAGTTGTTAAACCCGTTGACTTCATGAAAAGTTGAGGAAATTAAAAGAATCCCTATGACAATTCTCTAGACGTTCTTTCCTGAGAAGGGATTGAAACTCGAAACGAAAAAACAGGCAATTTTTGGCGACAGACTTGTGGAGAACAGTATCTGGGACTCGGTCATGACTCTTGACAAATTGCAACGCGGTTTTGAGTTTTGAAACGGTTAGACTCTTGAGTAAAATGGGGGGGGGGNGGGGGGGGGAGGGGCCTTCTCAACTACATCATATATATACTTATAGTCCTTTGCCTTAGCTCTCTGCTTTAACCATGTCCAATAGCTAATATATTGATCACCTACTACAGCTACATAGCAAGCACCAAGGCCACCGCTTTTCCTCTTTATTTTCTTCTTCTTCTTCTTCTTCTTCCTTATCAGAAGCTTGAATATTATACCCGGAATAGTGGGTTTTTATTTCAGAATTGACACAAGAGAAAGATGAAGGTAAGCCTCTTTGGGATGCATATTTGATGTTTTATCTGAAGTTTATTTGATCTGGGTATTTGGAAAACCTTGTGTCTTAAGCCAGAACCAACAGGAGAAAACTACTTGATCAACTACTATGATTATTGTTTCATATGGGCTAGCTAATTTGATTGTTTGAATTTCTTGCTTGTTGATGCAGCAAAAGATCGTTATAAAGGTGGATATGCACTGTAACGATTGCAGGTCTAAGGCCATGAAGATCGCTGCATCCACTCAAGGTATGTATCAAATTAATTTAAACTGGTTCAGGTCTTGAATTTGGCAGATCAAACGACAGATTCATGGACTCGATCCGAAAATAATTGAAGGTCTTCCTTTATATTTTTTGCATGTGTTGATCACATGCATCTTAATTACCATCCTTAGAACAAGGAGAAAGAGAAAGTAATCCAACAGAAAAAAGTCAAAAACAGAGAACTGATAGGTTTTAAATTTTTGTGAATCTGATACAGGTGTGACCTCGGTTGCTCTGGAAGGAGATTTCAAGGATAAGTTAGTGGTAATGGGGGAAGAAGTGGATTCAACCTGCTTGACGAGATTGTTGAGGAAGAAGGTCGGCCACGCCGTCATAGTCACCATAGAGGTGAAGAAAGAAGAACCTAAGAAGGAAGAGAAGAAAGAAGAAAAGAAGGAAGAAAAAAAGGAGGACAAGAAGGAAGAGAAGAAAGAAGAAAAGAAGGAGGAGAAGAAAGAAGAGAAGAAGGAAGAGAAGAAAGAAGAGAAGAAAGAAGAAAAGAAGGAAGAGAAGAAGGAAGAGAAGGAGTGCCCACCGCATCCTTACTGTTATTATCCACTGCAACCGTGCTGTTATTATCCATATGCACCGGCGCCACCGTGTACACCATGTGGAACGTATAAAGTGGTTTGCGATGAGTCCCAAGAAAACTGCTGTATAATGTAAGATCCTCAGACTGGTTATTGCGTTGAGTTCTAATTGTCGATCATGGTCGCCGGAATGGTAGTGGGGGTACTGGTGTTTGAGTTGGCGTTTGTTTTCTTGTCAACTGTGTTGTAGGTTATAACATTGTGCTCATACTGGCATTTGTTTAGTTTATATATGAAACAAATAATTAATTAATTGTTCCAACTGGTGTGACAGACAATTTAATATATTCCTGAATCAAGCAAACGTTTTTTTTTTTCTTTTTTTTTTTTGTGGAATTGTTATTCCTGATTCGATCACTGTAAGTCACTGCCCACTGTTCTCACCCGCCGGATTCACTTTGAGGACGCCGGCCGGTCTTACGGATCGAAGCCATCATCACTCCGCCCCTTATCGATCAAACCCACCACCCACCTTGCTGAGAGATTTGAACCGATAATTCCAGATGAAAGGATTCCGTGAAGCCAGTGTAGTCTCACATGCATAGGTATGTAATATGTACAGAGTTATTAAACACTAGATGGAAGTGCACCCCACCAGAAGTGCGGCGATTGTTCAGAGTTCGTAGTCAATATATTCTGTTCATTGTTTAATAGTATAGTTCTTTTAGACAAATAGTTTATTTGTTTTGTGTTCTATCCATACTAGCGAGGGGCCCATGGTAAGTGGCTATGATTTGCAAAAGGTAAATTTTTTACTAAATTAAATAATTAATTAATTAAGGGTTGCCCATAGGTAAATAATTAATTAATTTGCAAAAGGTAAATTTTTTACTAATTTTTTACTAAATTAAATTTTTGTGTTCTATGTATAAACATGCATTTTTTCAATAAATAATGTATGATTATGTTATACATGTAATATATGTATTATTTTATATTAAAAATTTGTAAAAATAATATTAAATATTTCAATTTGAGGCCAAAAAAAATTTTTTAAGAAAATATAAGGCAAGGTTCCTATGGCTCCATGGGATGCATAGATCTCGAAAATTTATCCAAAATATAAAAAAAAAAATCACCTCAATCGAACATTGGAGTGCAAAGTTATGGCTTCCGGAAGTTTGTATACACATTTAGCGTGCAACCCATAATCCGATCATCGAGTCGAACGGGTCAATGGTCCAACCATTTGTCAGACATTTTTTTACCAAGTCAATGATTTTTTACCTCTCTCCAAGTTTTATTCAAACCAAACCCAGAATCTTGATTGGTGATGGTTCAACCAGTGCAACCGGCCGGGTTCAACCAAACCCTAAATATTTTTTAATTAAGTTTTAAATTTTTTATTTGTAAAAAATATTAAAAATTACAATTTGAGGGCAAAAAAGGGGTTTTGGCATAAATAGTTACCCAAAAAAAATCACCTAATCGGACATTGGAGTGCAAAGTTATGGCCTCCCAAAGTTTGCATACACATTTAGTGTGCAACCCGTGACATGGTCATTAGATTGAACAGGAAAACGCTCCAATCGTCCAAGTTGGGTGGTTTTTAACCAAGTCAACAATTTTTTACCTCCCACTAGATTTTACTTAAATCGGACCCAAAATCTTGACTGGTTGATGGTTCAAGCGGTTTAACCAATTGAACCAAACCCAACCCATTGACAACCCTAAATAATTTTTTAGTTCGGTTTTAAATTTTTTATTTGTAAAAAAATATTAAAAATTTGAAGTTTGCATACACATTTATTGTGCAACTTGTGACCCAATCACCAAGTCGAACGAGTCAATGGTCCAACTGTTTTGGCCGAACTGTTTTTACCAAGACAACGATTTTTTACCTCCCTTCGGGTTACTCAAACCAAACTCGAAATTTTGACTAGGTGATGGTTCAATCAATTTAACCGATCGAGTTCAACCAAGCCCAACCAGTTGACAACCCTAAACATTTTTCAATTCAGTTTTAAATTTTTTTATTTGTAAAAATATTAAAAATTGCAAATTGAGACCACAAAAGCGGTTTTTTGGTGAAAATAATAGGGCAAGGCACCTATGGCTCCTTGGGAGACATAGATCTCAATAAGTTACACAAAATAAAAAAATCACCTCAGTCGGATGTCAGATTGCAAAGTTATGGCCTCTCAAAGTTTGCATATACATTTAGTGTGCAACTCGTGACTCAATCACTGGGTCAAATGAGTCAACGGTCTAATCATCCGGGCTAGACAATTTTGACTAAGTCAACAATTTTTATCTTCCTCTAGGTTTTACTCAAATTGAACCCATAATCTTGAATGGGTGACAAGGTTCAAACAAACCCAAAGAAATAAAATGAGAGAGAAAGACTATTTTTAACGGGTAAAAGTTTGTTGGCGTCATTGTAAATAGTTAGTAGTGGCACCATTGTAAATAATTAGATGTTTAACATCAAATATGAAAAGAGGAAAATGAGAAACGACACGTTATCATTGCTTTTTTTTTTGTTTTATTCAATGCATCATTGTAATTAATTAAATTTTTAATGGTAAATATGAAACTGATTTCACATGCCCCAAACTCTACCGTTATATGCTTTTCTCTTTTCTCATGTAGCTACATCTCCTCGTCTTACGCCCCATTTTGTATTAAGTATTTATATAAGATTTCTTGGTTTTCTAGTTTTATATTCTCATTAGTATTTTGAATGTATTTTGAGCATTAAGGCCATGTTTGGGAGTGTTTATGTTAAAAATAAGTGATTATTGAATAAGTACTTAAAAACATGTGCTTATTCAAATAAACACTTATTTGCATTTGGCACCCAACTTTTTCAAGTGTTTATTTTAAAAAAATAAGCACTTCTTCCATATCGGGCATTTGTTAGTCTTTTCTCCCATGAGCACTTAAATAAGTATTTGTGACTATCTTGTCTTTCATTTTCTTTCAAATTTTACGAAAGCACTTTTATATATACTTTTACAAGAGCATTTTTACGAAATTACTTTTATGAAAGAACTTTAATAAAAACACTTTTATAAAAGCACTTTTATGAAAGAACTTTTACGAAAGAACTTTTATAAAGCATTTTTATAAAAGTACTTTCATGAAAGCACTTTTATAAAAACACTTTTACAAAAGTACTTTTATAAAAACACTTTTATGGAAGTGCTTTTATAAAAGCACTTTTACAAAAGAACTTTAGTAAAAGCACTTTTATGAAAACACTTTAATAAACGCACTTTTATAGAAACACTTTTATAAAAGTACTTTTACAAAATCACTTTTGCAAATGTACTTTTATAAAATTCAACTAGGGATAGTTTTATAAGTGGTATTTTAAAATGGGAAAATTCCTTATTAGTACCATGTACTTAGGGCTTAGTGTCACTTTGGTCCCCAAACTTTAAAATGCGACAATTCAGTACCCGAACTTTCAAAACATGCCAATTTAGTACCTACTAAGAAGCCAATAAGTGGCATTTGAAAAAATACAAATGCCCTTCAAGTGTCATTTAATTTTCTTTATCAACCATTCAAACATTGACAAAAAAATGAACGGTCCCAAATCCTTGCATCTTCTATTCAAGAAAGTCGAGGTCACATCTTAGTAGGCATTCTGGTGACCCCAATTTTATTGATTAGAAGAGGCAAGGATTTGGGACTATTCAATTTTTGTCAATGTTTGGATGGTTAACAACAAAAATTAGATGACACTTGAAGGGCATTTATGTCTTTTCAAATGCCACTTAACGGTTGGTTAATGGTAAATACTAAATTAGAACGTTTTGAAAGTTTGGGATTGAATCATGTTTTAATGATATATACAATAATTAAATAAAATAGTATAAAAAAATTGAAAACAATTGTTTATTTTATTAATATATTCTATACTATATTATTATATAATTATAATTTATATAATATATTATATATAATATATCAACATATATATGGGTCGTATTGGGCTGTTCCACAGGCCAAGGATAGCATGGCCCACACTATTGAGCTATACCGGCTTGGCCCATGAACCTGAAACCCCATGCCCAACACAGCCCATACAATCGTATCGGGTTGTGGCACGGCCCGTGGCCATCGGGCCGGGCTGGCTTAAAATCAAGTCGGGTTGTGCCAGGCCCCAAGCGACACAACCCAATTTACACATCTACTAATCAGGAAATTTTTCCTTTTAAAATTCAACTAAGGATAATTTTGGTAGAAAAAATTGAATAAGTGCTAATTATTATTATTATTATTATTATTATTGTTGTTGTTGTTGTTGTTGTTGTTGTTATTATTATTATTATTATTATTATTATTATTATTATTATTATTATTATTATTATTATTATTATTATTATTATTATTATTATTATTATTATTATTNTATTATTATTATTATTATTATTATTATTATTATTATTATTATTATTATTATTATTATTATTATTATTATTATTATTATTATTATTATTATTATTATCTGGTTATCTTGGATTCAGATGATGTGTTTATGTAATTATATCGGATTCAGGTTTTGCAATCTACATCTAATTAATAATTGGATCTGATTCAGATTTAACTCCCTCTAATCCAATAAAAATCTGAATCCAGTTATATTGAAATATTTATTGATTTTAATATATAAATTTTATATAATTATAAAAATATTTTTATATAGTATATTGTATATAAATTTATATGTATATAATAAATTCAGCATGTTATATTTACATTAACTTATTATATATAAAAGTTAAAACTTTTTAACTTTTTTTGTATTCTAAAAAATTAAATTGAAGTCAAATTAAATCCAAATCTAAGAGCCCACTAGGATTTGAATTCGAATATGAGATCTTCAAATCCTTAGATTTTTGGATTGGATTTGGATGCAAGTTTTCAATAATTGGATCACATTCAATTTTTGCTAAATTTAATCTGATTTACAGCCCTACCTAAAATGGCCATTCAACCAAGAATGAGAATCTTAATCTCATTCTTACTAAACAAATGACTAGAAACGGAATGGGTCATTCAGCCGATTCAAGGCAACTATTTTGGGGAACCAAATAGATCCTAAGTGTTTTTCTTGAATTAAAAGCTTGTTTTGGGAAAAAAAAAGATTTACTTAAAAGAATGACCTTTCACTAATCTAAATTGGTTTAACACTTAACTATCATCACTAACCACCATGATAACCAAATAGAAATTAAGTTGTTTGTTCCCTTCCCACTTTACTAGCCGTCTAGGCCTGCCGAAGATGGAGTACTGCATGGATTATCCTCTCATTGAATGAAGTGTCTATGTTAGA